CAAGAACATATGGGGAGGGTGGATCGTAATTGAACACACTTTTATTTTCCAGGACTAATTTAATGGCTTGGTACCTTGGGCAGGAGAGGAGTGAGGGATTTAGAGTTGGACAGTAACAGTGTAGTGCATTGAGCTACAACAGGATTTGTCTGTTCTTAACTGTGCAAAGAGATGCTGTTTCATTGCATCCCCCACCCACATGTTACTACCAACTGGTAGATTCCTTGACTGGGAGCATATAAATGCCAAGAGCTGCTTTTTACATTTTCCAAGGTAAATGAATAGATTCTGTTTTTTCAGTTATTGAAGTGGATGAGATTTTTGTGACTGGGTCATTGGGGAGTGTTCTTTAGTTTTTGTTAAACATAGTGTTTGTATTCTTGCTCTCTCCGTCCTTTTTCTCAAAACCTCAGTTGTTTCTGTAAGCTTACTTTACTGTGTGAAACCCAATGGAGGCATTCTGCAAATTCTCAGCTGTTAAACTGCGTATGTTTTTTTCCAGAATGGAATATAGGTGCCTGGATTCACAGGCTGCAGATTTAATAGTGGGGGACGGGAGGGGTTGCAAGAGGCCTCTGCTTCTCATCCCTCTCTCCCTTTCCTCTCCTCCTATTTTCTAAGTCATATATTTGTACATTATATACAGGAGATCATATAGAAAACCTGCACCTGGCACAAAATTAATTCTGCTGTTGGAGAGGTAACTTGTGCTGCCATTTAGCTCAGCACTCAGTGCTCTTACTCAGTGTAGAAACATTTTCTGGAGATTTTTTCAGGGCACTGCCACTTATACAAACAGAAAGTAGCATCTCTTACAGTCAGATCGACCTTTGGGTAGAATCAAGCTTATGAGACTTACCAAATGCCGTGTATGTTTATATTATTACAAGTGAAACTTTCTGATATCTTTTAATTGTACTGTGAAAAAAAATAAATGGTTTTTCTGCTCTGTTTCAGCCTGAAGATAAATAATGCAATGAGTAGGGTGTGCTTGGTTATAGTTTGGGATGACATTTATACAGAAACAAATAATTATCTTTCAGGGAAAAGTACAGTACTTTTTAACATTATGTAGAAACATAAGATTTACTTGACAGCTTAAGTAGTCAACTTTTATAAAATATGCATGAGCTTATTAATGTTTTATTTATTTTGAAGTGCAAAAATTTCCATGTTTTACTTAGTATTTATAATTTTAAACTGAAATAGTCCTAAATTTGTCACTAGGTAGTTATTACTGACCTGTAAACTTGCATTAGTCCTCTTCAATGGGAATTTTATAGCTGGTATTCTGAAAATGCTCTTGCAGAAGTTTAACTCAAACCAGCGTGTCCATTTACTGATGGTAATTTACATCATAACTGTAAATTTTCATTGTCACATTTATTCTAATCGGTAATTACCGTCATTCATAGTCAGGGTATTTGCAAGAAGAGTAGATGAATTTAGCTCGCAAAATTCTCATGAAAAGTTCTGGTGGTGACCACCAGGAGTTGGTGTTTATGGGCAGTCTCTTCAGTACTGCCAGTTGCTGCATAGCTGGAGTTTGGTGAAGGAAATTCGATGTGTGTAACTTTACCTGGTCCTATTGCTGATGAGGTGATTGGAGCACGGGTGCACCCATGCGGGGCAAGCCACTGTCTGGGTGCATGCAGGGTGTTCATGGCACCCGGCTTTTCTCCCCTTGGCTGGAGAATTTGTGGGCGCAGTGCTGGGCTGCAGTGAGGGACAGGGACAGGGATCGGCCAGGTCAGAGTCTTTGTCATGGCTTCCTTTCTCAGTGTGTACATGTTCTCTTCTAGAGGATGCGTGCTCAATATTTCAAGCATTTATAAGATCCTTGGAGGAAATGTGTGCAAAGATAAATTATTTTCATAAAGGATAAAGGAGGAAATTTGGCATTTTAAAATCACGTGCTTTAATCTGCCACGTGAATGCAAAACTGTGGTGTTTTCTCCCTCCTTATTTATTCTTTCTGTACTTTTGCCTGTAACTGTCTTGTTGTAACATAGGTGCTGTTCTTGGGGAGCATATTAAATTTAATGAAGCTTCTCGTTTGACAGGAAGTATTTACATACGTTTGCAGGCAGAAGATCAGCCCTTTATACTACGAGGTTTTCATTGAGAAAATGCATTGAGAAAAACGAAAAAAAAAGAGTATATACTAACATGGTATACTCTCAGTAGTAAAACGGGGTATAACATCCAACATGATACTTATTCTTCAGGCAGGTCACAGAGGTCTAGTTGTGATCTTATTCTTGGATAAGCTCCCCTATAACCTATGCAAGTCCTTCTCCCCTGCTCCCTTCGTTTCCAGCCTAAACAAGAAATATGCAAAAGCTCCTTGTCAGTCCTCTTCAGCAACTGTTACTTTGATTAATTTGCAGATGATGTTTTGAAAAGTCAAGTTACCCTTTACCTTTTTAGGAAATTATCTGGCACCGTTAAGACAGTTGAGCTGTGAATGGCGATGTGGATGTCAAGAAACCAATGGCGTTTGTCCAACCCTGTTTGTTAGATTTCAGGACTGATTATTCAAGACTTCCTTATGAGATGTCAGTTGCCACAATCTGTGTTAAATTGCAAGAAATCACTTTCAAAAGCAGCCCCTGAGGAGCCAGGAGACTGGGGTAATAGGAGGTGAAAATAGGAAGCAATTCAAGGCTTGTTCTAGGCTGACTACAAGGTTTCTTCTGTGACTTTGGAAGCAGAGAGCTGGGGAGGGAAGGCAGGGACAGGACATGACAGTGATACGGTCCCTTTCCTTTCTTAATAGAGGTAGGAACATAAACACAGTAAGAATTACCTTTGCAAGGGTTTTGTGCTGGTTTTGACCCCAGAAATTTCAAAAAAGATATCAAAGTGCCAAGAGAAAGCTCTACACTAGCAGGAAGCTTCCTTAATAAATCAAAGAACAAAGTTCTCAGACATAGATAAATATGTTTATGGAAGGTAACCATGGACGATAGCAAATATACAACCATTTTTCGTAGCGTCTCTAGGCAATTAGGGAGATATTTTGTCAATGGTGATAGGAGGAGGGGAGAAGGCAGAATCCTCCTTAAAACTTTAACATACTGTGTTGCAGAGCATCAAGAGGAACTAACAGTGTTTTCTGTGTGGGTTTTATTACTTGGCAGGATTCACTATGACTAAATCTCAAAAGACTGCTTTTTTTTTTTTTTTTTTTTAAAGTTGCATTTATTTATATATAATACAGTTTGTTAGCCAAAAAGCCAACCCCACCTTATCAACCCATGTATGGTCTTTGTTTGTAAAATGTTTCTAACTGCTTGCTAAATGTTACTGGAAAACTGCATAGCTGTGAAGGCAGTCACTCACTTGTCAGAGCTCACAGTTCCCATGTTAATCACAACAAGCATGTGCTGACCCAGACTCCACCAGTGAGCCTCTTCAGTCAGGGTAACATCTGCACTCCATTTTCTTCCTTTTATAATTACATCAGTTGATGTTTTCTTAATATTTAGCATGCAGCAAGGAGCGTTCTTATGAAATTATGAATTAAATGTGTTCTTTTAGGAGGAAGAAAGCCAAGTGGCTAATGCAGCAACCTAACCTTAATTTCTTTAATATCTCTAGTTAACAAAACACTTGCCTAAAGCAAAGCAAAAGCACCTCCCAGGAGCTCTTCTTTCAGTGGGAATTTACTTGAATTATTCATTCAATTTAAAAAAAAAAAAAATTTGCACTTTTACAGTTGGGTTGGACAAAAGTCATCGCCAGATAATTTTTGCTTAAGTTGTTAAATTTGAAAACAAATGATGAACAAACCAAAATAAATAAATGACTCTATTTTATGAAGTTGAAATGTAATGGGAACCAGACTCCTGTCCAATGAGCCTCCAGATACAGCCCGTGCTTGCTTTGAAGCTGTAATCACTGTCTGGCTATGTGTGCGGGACGCACAGGAGCATGTCTGGTGTGTGAGATAATGAGTTTGGATTTGCAGCGCGGCATGGCTCAGCCTTGCAGCCAGAGCGCTCTCCTCCGCTCAGGCCCACCTTGTCCCTCCACGCCTGAGCTCGGTGCTTGAACTGATGGCATAGATTTTGTCAAGTCTATGGGGGTTTTTGGGGGCGGGTTTTGGGGGGAGTTGTGGAACAGCAACGTTGTCCAGCTGGAAGACTCTTTCTAATCAGTTTTTAGTAATCAGGCTAATGTAAGCATTAGATAGGTTTGGGTTTTAATTAGTCTGCTTTCTGGAAGTCCTTTCCTTCTTAGTCTGTGAGGATTTACAGCTGTCAACAATTTGGGCAAGAATTCTCTGTAATCATTTCTGAAGCAGTTCTTCTGAGGATGCCCAAACTTAGATTTAAGCTCCTAAAATGTGATTGTCCTGAAGGTGAGGATGTGGATCACTGGGTAAAATGGAGGCCGAGCTACCTGGCTCTGGGGAAGCAGGACAAGTCTGCTGACTTCTCTTGACATGCCCTGCTTTACAGCCATAGGTGAACTAGGCTGTTATGTTTAGGATACGCCCTCACTTGAAAGAGAGAGTAACTAATGCTGTTAAAACCACTGGCTTATCATAGATTTGTCTAACAAGTCTAGCAAATGTACATCAACTTCAACTTTAGAACAAAAAAAGCCTACACTAAGACCATTTATTTCCTTTCCCCTCCCTTTTATGTAGCTGTAATCCTGTTTACTACAAGCACTTTTGAAACACTAAATGTGAGCAAGTTAGAAATGTACAAGCAGATGCTCAAAAGTGTTTGGCTCTTTGCTGTTTCTTCTGTTACACCCTTTTATCAGATGCTTTTCTGTCTGCATGAAGCACAGTTTATCTTCTTGTACCAATTGACTGAACTCCACATGAACAAAATATGAATGTTTATTGATATAAATAGATGACTGGTACACGGTCTCAGTAGCATAAGTCTGGTTGAGTATAAAGTCATACCAATAGAGCAAGTTAGAAACTGTGTGGAAGTCAATACAAAACCCTGTGTAAGACTCCCTGTTTTCTCTGCTAGTGTTTAATTATTGGAGGTGGCCCATGTGGCTTGCGGACTGCCATAGAACTTGCTTTCCTGGGAGCCAAAGTTGTCATCGTGGAGAAGCGGGACACTTTTTCAAGAAACAATGTGTTGCATCTCTGGCCATTTACAATTCACGACCTCCGGGGACTGGGAGCAAAGAAATTTTATGGGAAATTCTGTGCGGGATCTATTGATCACATCAGTAAGTATATGAGGGCATGGGTACTGTTCAGATAAGAGACGTACTGAGGTCAGAAGATTAATGGAGACTTTCTTGATTTGGTAGAAAGCTCATCTGCCTTAAACATGCGTGAGTGCACACAGAGGAAAAGAAATGGTCTCATTTAAGCAAAATGGGCAATTGAACAAATGATAGTCTTATGGAACAGCTCTTTTGTTAGACTGGATTTGCTAAATAATAGGTTTTTATTACGAAGTATGAGGAATATTAATATTCATTCTAGTATGAAGGTAGACACAGCCCTTAATCTAATGAGAAAATACGAGAAAGTGGGTATTTTATAGGAAAATATGCTGTAAAATTTTCTGTCCTAAAATGGTCAACATATTGTTTAGCAGAACCTTTAAATATCATTAAGAAGGAAAGCTCTAAAAGACATGCAGTTGCGCTTGTCACAGTATGGAAAATAATAATGCTGCATGCTTGTGTAATGGTGAGTATCAGTTGGGTGGCATGCTGGTAGCAGCTGTGATTATTTACGTATTAAATACACCTTTGTTCCTTGCTGTCTACAGGTATTCGACAACTTCAACTTATCCTCTTCAAAGTTGCACTTATACTAGGAGTTGAAATCCATGTGAATCTAGAATTCATGAAAGTCCTGGAACCTCCTGAAGATCAGGAAAACCAAAGTATTGTTTATCATAATGTAGTTCTGTTCACAGTAACTTCTTTTTATGTTGGGCATTATGTGAAATCATTCAACGTAGTTGAATTCTGTTAAAGAAATAGGAGTGTTTTGCCCTTACTCAGCTAGGTTTGCTATACGCATTCATAGGCATGATAAGTATCATTGTGACAGAGCACTGATAATTTTTAAAATATGACCCAGTCTGAGAAGTTGAGGTTTTGCACTATGTCTTCTGGCATGTGTTTGAGGCTTTGTAGGGAGTCTGGTTTGGCTTCTTGGTATCTTCTTGCAAAAACAATTTTTGATTGATAATATAAATATTGAGGATGGATTAAGCTCCCTGGGCCTCGTTTTGCTTTCTCATTTGATATAACTCCTGCTGGCACACAGTTTATCAGCCATCTTATGCAAGATTTTTAAATAAAATAGATAAAGACTTCTCATTCTTTTTTTCTATTTTATTAAAGTTTAATACTTAGGGTGTAGTAGCAATAGAATATTTTAAAATTTTGCTTTAATTAAAATACCGTGCTATCTCTCTTTAACAGTCATATAGTGACAGTAAATATATTAAGTAGTTAAAGCATATAGAATTTTAAAATATGGACTATACATAATTTTCTTATGATCAGCTCTGTGTTAATGTAAAGATTAAATTTACCTTTGCAAGTATACTTCCGTTTAATGTCTATTTAGAAGACAATTAAAAGAATTGATGATAGAATACTATTTTTCTTCTTTTAAAACTCAGCCCTTCCTTGCTGTTACCACATATATGTACTGTCCTGATAAGGTCATTGAGGGGCTATTTCTGTGAGAATGAAGTGCTTAAGCATATTCTTGTGATACAGGTCTGAGAGGAAGTTCAGTGCATTAGGTGATCCAGATGAAGGCTTCCATTTTTTTTGTTGTCAGTTTACGAGCTTGACACCTTGCTAAGACAGCCTGAACGTAGCTTTGACTGCAGCAGAACTTCCCTGCATCGATCTGAGGCAGAATTCAGCTCTGTTTGAATGAGAAATGGACCATTTATCTTAATGCCCTTTCTTCAGACTCTGAAAGCACTTCTCCATTGTATTACTGAAGAATGAATAAATATTATTCTTTGTGTTTTTAGAGACAGGTTGGAGGGCTGAATTTCTCCCCGTGGATCACCCTTTGTCAGAGTATGAATTTGATGTTATTATTGGTGCAGATGGCCGCAGGAACACATTAGAAGGTAGGTGAATGTGTGGTTTTAGCCATATTAATGGTCTTTAGGGTATTTTGGAAGGTCTGAAAGTCAGAGGAGAACACAAAGCAACAGGCTACCTTTCAATCCACTGAAGTCTGTGTGGAAATTAATTTTCTATGTGGTATCTTCTGCTTTTGTTGTTAAGTTGTAGCTCAAAATAAAGACATTTAATGTCATTACTGATTTTCAGCACTATGTATCTGCATTGCCTCTAAAATGCATCATGATGCCATTGGGCTTGCTTCAAGGTTAAGTTAATTGTATGATGATTTAATTTTAAGGAGGCTGACAAGATACATATCAGGAATTGCATAGCCTTTGCTGTTGTTCTGTGAATCTGCAGTATGTGTTTGAACTAATGACCAAAATGTGACTGCCAGGTATTTGACAAAGGCATCAGAGGTATCTCTCTTTTTATAGAGGTGATTTCATTTCAGAAGCAGTTACTTTGGAAATGATACCAAAAGATAATAACTTGGGGGGGGGAGGGGGGCACATGACAGGAAAAGGGGGGAAATGCTTTATGAACTTAAGCCATTACTGAGAATTTAGACCACCGGAGCTGTGTAGTGAGACACTAGCTAAGCTGCTCCTGTATCACATGAAAAAAACCTGTTACTTAATGATGTATTCCCCTTGTAGCTTTAATTATATCCATGTTAGATTCAGTTCACTAAGTACGGTATTTCCTTTTTTTATTAGCTTCATAGTTTGTCTGCTTATTCTTATATCTGCCAACCACAATATGCTTAGAGTTAATTCCTTGTAAAGTAAGCAGTCAGGTATCAGCAAATCGAAATTATTCTTACCACAGCTGCAGACGCTGAGAAGTTAATGGTTATCTTAGTACCAGGATCTAAGGGAATATTTGGTACACTGAAGATTGTTTACATATGGAAGCTGGTATTGTCATATTAAATTTATCCCAATGAAATGAGTGTGCATCAAGAAGCACAGAGACAAAAATCCTTAGCTGATTTATTTCTTCTTGGAAAATACATGTATACTCTGAAAACTCATCTTCAGTTGGCTTAAAATACTCCTAAGGACCCTCTGTCCTACTTCAGAATTTACTTACAGATAAAGGGAATATTTAGAGGGAAAAATTTCAGTATGTGATTGCAAGAGTGTGGCTTAGCAGGCTTTTTTTGTGAAAAGAGGAAGCTAGGATGGAGAGAGAGAACAAGTAACTTCGCAGTCAGTCTCACCTTGGAAATACAACAGTTAAGCCACTGAATATTTTTCAACCCCTAATATCTTTGAAAGACCTCGTTAGCTGTTAGTGTGTGCCCCTAAGTACTGTTATAGAGGTTTCTGGTTTTCAGATCTTTCTCTGCTGCTTTTGACTGCTGATCTCTTGCATGTTTGTTCTTCTGTAATTCCCCTCCAGACTTTTTTTTTTTTTAATGAGACTTTATCTTGAATGCAGTACAGCTTCAGTTTTGCAGCTGGAAGTGGGGAGAAAAGACTCTTTGCATTCAAGGGAATTTTGGAGGAATGATGGAATCTGCTGATGGTGTGTTGTTTGATGAAGTGTAGGACTAGACATAGGAAAGAGACCAAGCTGCCTTCATTTGACCCTTCCTGAAAGTCCAATGTGAAGTTTGCAGTGTTTTTAATTCTTTTCTTTGCTTACCAGGTTTCAGGAGGAAGGAGTTTCGTGGAAAGCTGGCTATAGCTATCACTGCCAATTTTATAAACAGAAATACAACTGCAGAAGCCAAGGTAGAAGAAATTAGTGGTGTTGCTTTCATCTTCAACCAGAAGTTCTTCCAGGACCTTAAAGAGGAAACGGGTGGGTGTATTCTTATTTTCTCCACAACCAAATACAAGAGGCAGTAGCGGAGCTCTTTACGTGCCAGGCAATCCTCCTATTCCTATTAACATCAATTTAAATATATTGTATAAAAAACCCCAAGTGATAAAATGCTTTTGATGTCAGAATCTTGCAGATGGAGGTGACCAATTATGGTACAGTGGTTTTGTGGGGTTTTTTTGTTTGTTTTGTAGCCTGGGCGTTCCCACATCATAGTTTGTTTTAATGTTTAAATTTTTCTCAACTGTAAAAATGTCTGCTATGTTGAACAAATTTAGAAGAGCATTTTCAGTGCCCAGAGATATCCCTTAAGACATGGTTTGTTTTGTTTGTATCCATTCACATGCTGAACAGCTTAAACCCCATGAAAAAGTCTCTGCCCTTCTGGGAGGAGTTTATTCTTGCTTTTTGATGTGTAGATCTGATAAACTGAAAAGAATGAGCCAGGAATCTGCCATAAATACTTAAAATATAAACTGTGACATACATCTGTATGAAAAAGGGTTTCAGAATAGTTGCATCCACTGTCAGTACAAGCAATTCCATTATTTA